TCCATGGCATCGGACCCGGATACCTTCGAGACCGCCTCCTGCCGCAGATTACCTCCCATCGACCTGTACGCTCCCACAGAGTGGGTCTCCTCAGGGTGCCGTCGGCCAGACAGTGCCGGCTGGCGACCCCAAGGGGGAGGGCCTTCTCTGTGGGAGCTCCCACCCTCTGGAATGAACTACCCCCAGAGATCAGGGTGATACCTGATCTCCCTTCCTTCCGCCGCGCCCTTAAGACGTGGTTATTCCAGCTTGCAGGACTGGCCTAGGGTAATTTTTAGAGGGGTTTTAATTATATTTTAATTAGATCATTTTTAAATATTTCTTTTTAATTAATTTTAACCTTGTAATTGTTATTTGTGTATTTTTTAATTGATTGTTAGCCGCCCTGAGTCCGCAAGGAGAAGGGCGGGATATAAATTTAATTAATAATAATAATAATAATAATAATAATAATAATAATAATAATAATAATAATAATAATAATAATAATAATAATAATAATAATAATAATAATAATAATAGAACAATACAAATCTCAGAGGGGACACAACAGTACCCTACTCCAAGACTTGGGAGTAGACCAGAGGTCCCCAACCTTTTGGGCACCAGGAACCCGCTCCGTGGAGAGAGGTTTTTCCGCGGACTGGAGGGTGCATGGTTTTTTTGTGCTGCCTGCATCTCGCGGATGGGGCTTTGCTTGCTTGCGTGGCCCAATTGCTGGCATGCCGCGGTCCGGTACTGGTCCACGGACCGGAGGGTTGGGGACCCCTGGAATAGACGAATGCTTTCAGTGCCTTTTAGTATATCATCAAGGTGGTAGCCATATGGATCTCTGGGGGATTCCAGAGAGCCTGCCCTGACAGAGAAGACATGTCTCCAGTAGATGGCATTGTATGACCATGGGGATCTGAGGCATACCTACCCTGCATAACTTTACTAGGTAACCTCGTGCTTATGTAATGGGCACATCAGACTCACAAGACATACTCATGCCTTCAAGACTAACAAAAACAGCAACACATATCCAAACAAGCAGGTGTTTTGGGAGAAATTCTTTAGACGTCTTCCTGAAAATACAGCACCTCCACGGCGGAAAAACAACTTGACGTTCTTATGTACCTGATGTAAATATCAAACACACTCTATAAATTTGCATCTTTGCTTAGTCAATATAGAATTCGCAAAATAGAAGACAGTACTGACGGGAAGAAATATTAAAAAAATATTTTCTTTGTCAATGTCGTCGTTTAACTCAAGGCAGGGGAATGGATCTCTCTAGGAATTAAAAACCCCTATTCAAGAGCCAGCTGTTGGAAGAGTCAAGGACAGGGGTAGTCAACCTTGGCTCTTTTATGACTCGTGGACTTCAATTCCCAGAATTCCTGAGCCAGCTTAGCTGGCTCAGGAATTCTGGGAGTTGAAGTCCACGAGTCATAAAAGAGCCAAGGTTGACTACCCCTGGTCAAGGACGAAGCTCAAGGTAGAAGGTGGGGTTACCGCTGATACTGAAGAAGCTTTAACTGCAAAGAAGATAAACTATTCAGGATCTAAGAATTAAACCTGACTGTTTTTTTAATTCATCTTTTAAATCTTATCTTTTTCTGCTGCCCTTACATAGTGAAAGAATTCTTGTGACTCATTTCTCAACCTTAGGTGTGGAAGGCTCTGGCACAATGTTCTGATAACTGTCCTGTCTGGTCTCAGGTTCCCTGTTTTCAATCATGCCAGCTTCAGTCCTCATGCCAAAAGTAAGAGGGAATCCCACATTTCAAAACAAGTTGGGACAGAAGGGATAAGAACGGTGTAACGAGGAATGGAATGAGGAATGTTCATCTCAATAGACACAGAATGCCCAGTGTCCTTAGAGGACACAAGAAGGACACACCCAGCTGCTTAGAGTGAAAAGCAAAGAAATACATTTTCACTGCAATACGAAAAACAAAAACAAATTTATTTTTTTTTGCAAAACTATGCAAAACTGGAGAGCGAGATGAGTCTGGCATGTTAACTCTTCTGTTCAATTATAGAGCATTCTGACAGTCCACCTCAACTTTGTGCCAATCTACAAGTATAACTTAATGAATAAAAAGAGTCCTTGAGACTCTTGAGTCCTTGAGTCCTTTCATTAAACTTTGAGGCAGCAGACCTGACAACAGGAAATGAGTTGCGTTTCCCTCTGTTTACATAAGATATAGAGTAACGTGCCACTGGAAACCCCAAATAAATATATGAATTCTTAAGACACTTTATCTTTGAGACACGTATTGAAAAAACACAAACCCACAAGAGAGGCTGTGTTTGTAGCATAGCTTGCCTGTGTGGATCAGCCATGTATACCTCGAATGGGTCTATTGTACACTTAAGATTGTCTTAATTGCATTTCTCTGAACTGTTTGCAACCTGGTTCAGACAGACAGTATATAAATACCAAACAATATACAAACAGCTAAAAATAGGGCATTGAGAGAATGCATAGTATTACACAGTAATACAAAAATACAGCATGACAATCACAATAAATATCCACAAAACTTTATCAATACGACTATTTTTAAAAAAATAATCATTGGGAAACTCTTGTTTAAATTGATTGGCTCCAAAAACAGCTTAGTGTTAGATGGCAGGCAGGTCCCTCCAGGAAGAAATTCAGGAACAGGGTACAGCAATGGAAAAGTGGGGTGGAGGGAGGCCTTTTTTGAACAGGAAAGAAAAGGAAAAAATCTGCCTTCCCAATTTATTCATAATGTCTGACCCACAAATGTGAATCACCAACATTACCTTAAGAATCTCCACGTAAATCAGGGCTTCCTCTTCCTCCGGCATTTTGCTGTCCCCTAATACACTAGACAAGGTCCACTTCAGGGGTTTCAAAATGAAGACTCCCACACCCCAGGAGATCCAGCTACTGTCCACACTAGCCATGTAGTCCGACTCTCTTTGCAGTTTGCCCCGTCTAAAGAAATAAATGAAAAGTTTCAGAGAAGCCAAAATAAATACTTCAACACAATTTGAAAAAAGATAACCAGGATGGTTTACTACATGGCGGTTTGAAAAGCTACACTGTGGCTTAAAATGATTAGGCCACTGCTGTTAGAGAGAATGAGGTTGCCCACAGTCTCCTGAGAGGGATTGAAACAGAGCATATAAGGCTGCAGTAAGAAAAATAATAATAATAACTGATTGTAGGAATCCATATTTCTAATCAAAGCTTTCTTCCATTTATCTGAGAAAACACATCAGCAATGAATTTTTATTTTTCCTTAATATATATGGGAATCTGAAAGAAGTAGAGGGAAATGGTTTAATGAAGTGCAAATGTTTCACTGTCTTTGATGTGAAAGTGGAGCATCAAAGCTAATTTGCCTGGATTTTTATTTTTCCTTTTCAACTTTCACAATGCAAAGCAAACACTGTACATGATTTGGGGATATTATATTTTTTGAATACTGACACAGAGTTGATTAATTTTCTTTTTCAACGTATGGAACTCTTGTAATCCTGTTGAAGCTGTTTTGAAACACTGACCTCCTTCTCTTAACATTTTTTTTTAAATCCCCATTTTCCTTAAACAATTTTTAAAACTTTTTAAATGATTAAACTGCTGGTCTTCTACATATATTTACTGTGTGGTTTTAAGAAGCTCAGTTGTGTTGTATTTAACATGCCATAATGTGTTTGGATGAACTGTCCTAAAAGGTGGACCATTAGTGTAATAATAACTTTAAATAAAATACAGTAACAAAGGTTGGATTAGTTTAAAATTGTTGCATGAGGCCCCCAATACAGCATATTATACAGGACATTGAATAACAATCAAAGTTAGCAGAGAAAAAGAGACACAGAATCCAATGGGAGAGAAATTATGTTGCCATTCAATTTGTAACCCTTCTTCCAGCAAAAAGCAAAGTTTGGCAAATTCTTCAAACATTAAATACACTTACAAACAAAAACAAACAAATCTGAATTTAGTTATTATTTGATGAAAGAAATTCTTAACCACACATATAAAACTACAGGTTAAATGGTTGTTAAAGAGTTTGAGTGGAAATTGCCAAGAACAAACAAAAGGGGGAATTCCACCAGGTAACACAATTAAGTCACTGAGCAAATAAAGGTAGATTTAACTATAAACGTTAAGATATTTATAAGAGAGAGAGATCTGAGTGTGTACAGTTATATTTATATACGATAACAGATTATACCTATGTCTGCGTACTTGCAACCCATTGTTTCTTAAACTTTTTGCTCTCGGAAATGCTTTTAAAAATTACATTTTTAATTTTAATTTTAGAAGTTTTGATTGGTACGGGTCCTATTTATTGATATTTCCTCAACTAAAAACGGATATGCATTTGCAGAACGTGTACAAAAAATTCAACTTATCGGATATTAACATAAATAAAACATTTTTCATGAAAAAAAAAATAGAAGAGGGACAAAGGTTTATATTTTTACAAACATCTTCATTTTTTTTTTTTCGGGGACCCCCTAAACGATCTTGGGGGGGGGGAAAGAGAGAGACCCCCCCAGGAGTCTTTCAAACACATTTTAAGAAATAAAGGTTATATTTTTTATAATGATATGAGATTAAATAGGGCCTCCCCTTCCTGGAAAAAAAAGCCGGTGCTCGAGTGAAACTGCGCGAGGCCATCTGCACGCGCTCAGAGGCACTCTCGCCCCGGAAGCAGCCCTCGCCCCCCTCCCCCGCCCCGAAAGTGAGCGGCCCCGCCGGTCTCACCTGAGCAGCTCGCGGAGGACGGTGCCCAGGCCGAGGGGGACGCTCCCCCGGCGCTCGAAAGCCTGCTGGAGCTCCCTCAGGCAGGTGCGGATCCCTCCTTTCCGTCTTCCCCATTTGAACACCAGCTCGCTCCAAAAGCCCATCTTGCTGTCCCACTCGGTGGCGTTAACCTCCCGGCTCTGCTTGAAAGCCGAAAACAGAAACGCCATACGTTCTTCGTCCGTTTCCCACTCTACCGGCAAGTCCCCTTCCGGGGCCGGCGCCACCCGCGCCTCCTCCGGCGAAGACATCTACGCGAGCCCCCGGCTCCTCGCGGCCTAGCTACCCTTTTGCCTGAGCGGGCGTTCTCCGACAGCGAAAAGCGCATGCGCGCGGAGACAAAAAACCGGCCTACGTCGCGCGGATTACAGAGATAGAAAAAGACAGAGGCGTTTTAAAAAAAACACAATGGAAGGAAACTGAGAATGGGCGCCCACATAGAGCTACGAAGAAGTCAAGATAAACATCTACGCTTCGCCCAGGATGAACCTGAGTTAATTCTGCTTTCAAAGCCGAGAGCAATACAGAAAGTTGTGGCTGTTCCATCACTGGAGGTTTTTTTAAAAAAAGAGACAGAATAGCCATTTGTCCTGAATGGTCTCCTACTTCAGCAGGGGGTTGGACTAGATGATCTCCAAGGACCCTTTCAACTCTGTTATACTGTGACTTCATCTAAATCCTGTGAATTTTTTAAAGAAAAAAAAGAAAGATTTAACGTTTGACATGTTCCTTATGCTCCTATTGCAGGCCGTGGCAATGAAAAAATGCCACACAACAACAATCCAGCAATATAGATCACTTATCTGCAGTTTAAAACACGGCAAACTGCCTTTGATCTAATTTCTTTGCCCCCTTTTTTATGAGAGGCCTCTAGGGAGCATTTTCCTTCCTTTCCCCCACCCTACAGCTTGATAAAAGCGGGATTTCCAAGCCCTTTTGGTCACACCTAACCCTGGTTTATTCAGTTAAGAATCAGAGGGGATGCCTTTGAAATCCCAGTTTGGGACTGCAATTCCCTTTTACCTGCAAGACAGACAGCTGGTGCTCTCGGTGTGCATGCAGTACAAGCCCCAACGTTTATCACCATTTCCCAGGAAGAGTTCCCGCTTCAAACAAAATGAAAGAGAAAATGGAATTCAAACTTTCTGCAACGGTCCCTACTGTGAAAGTGAAATGTGAAAGCAGAAACATTCGAGAACAAACAGCCAAAGATGAGGGGTTCTGATCTAGAAAAGGACACAAAAGCACCAAGGGGAGCAGATTCCCAACCTGGCCTTATGGAGAGTGTCTTTTCTATTGTCCTTGGCTTCTCAAGGTCACTGAGGTGAGTGAACTTTTTGGCTTCCTTTGAACTCATGTGCAGCACAGGGATCCAAGGCAGGATTCAGTTTCCAATTTTTTTTTCTGGCCAAATAACTTGGTTAGGTGCTTACTAAAAGCTATAATCAGTATTAAAATTGAATTTTACACATCCATAGAATCTCTGGATGGAAGTTTTCATTGTAAGACCTCTGCAATGCTGATCTTACCAGTGGGGTGTCTAAATTCAGAGTTTCTGCACTTAACAAGTGACCTCAAATATTATCCTGGTCAATTAAGATGATCCTCTATCCCTGATTCCTATGTTTTTATATGAGTGATTGATCATAATGAAGCCGTTTTAAACTTTTGCCCTGATCAAAGAGGGAGGGGCTCGGTTGCCTAAATAATCCTTTTTAATTGCTTTAGTTAAAAAAAGACAACCGTCTTGTGAACATTCTGAGTGAATTAATCAGATCTCAAATTAAACTTTTTTTTTAATGTTGGTTCCTGTGTCAGAGATCATCAGCTACACTCAAAGTGATCTTTAGGGCTCTCCAGAATAAAGATTAGAAGCCACTGGGTTGCAGTTGGTTCTGGGACCCAAACATTGGAAGAAGAAAATCAGTTAAGAAAGATAGACAGTGTTGGATGGGGTGGGGGAGGCATGTGTCTTCCCTTTTATTACATGCTTCTAGATTCAGCTTATTTCACACAATCACAGCCCTGAGCAACAGCCACAATCAGTTCAATTTCAAATGATCACTGAGGCATAACCCAGTGAATTTTAAAAAGCAGAAAAACTTTTACTTGTTCCAATTGCTCTTTCCCACTCACTCATCCACCCACAGGAGACAGCCAAGTCTGAATCCAAAGCAGTCTCAAAGAGTGGGTGGGCTTCAGGACCCCTTTTATCTCCCAAGTTGCTTTGTTGATTCACAAGACTGGCAATCACTGATGGGATTTGGGGAGGGAGCCCTATGTATTCAGGCTGGGCTTTTGTTTGATTTTTGCTTTGTTTTCTTAAGGACTTAGTTCTTTATCTGTCTCCTGAATAGGCAGGATTCTTGGCTAACAACCCTACTTCATCTTCAGCCTAGTTTCACACTTTCCCTGGAGTTGAAGTCCACAAGTCTTAAAGTTGCCACATTTGAAGACCCCTGTTTTACCTAAATAATCCAAATGTACACACATTGCCTCCTGGGTGAAGGATCAGTAGCACCTCTGTCTTCCTCTTCTAAAAGACTGTGAGAGCTGTGTCCTTCCGTAACTCCTTTACTTGCACAACTTAAATGTCTGGATTTTTCATAAAGGTAGTCCTCGACTTACAACAGTTCATTTAGCGGACCGTTCAAAGTTACAACGGCCCTGACAAAAGTGACTAAAGACCGTTTTTCATACTCACAACTGTTGCAGCATCCCCAGGGTCACGTGATCAAAATTCAGATGCTTGGCAACTGACTTGTACTTATGACAGTTGCAGTGTCCTGGGGTCATATGATCCCCTTTTGCCACCCTTCTGACAAGCAAAATCAATGGGGAAGCCGGATTCATTTAACAACCGTGTTACTAACAACTGAAAGTGATTCACTTAGCAGCTAGGCCAAGAAAGGTCGTAAAATGGGACAAAAATTACTTAACAGCTGTCCCAGCCACAGAAATTCTGTGCTCTATTGTGGTCGGTAAGGCACCCTAAATGAAATTTGAAGCAATCAAAGCTCTCATTGAATGGACTCCTTCCTGGAGAAGGATGACTCACCCTCTTTCTTCATTTTTGAAAAGAATGTGAAGCTGTGTCCTTCCAATATCTCCTTCAGTTACTCTACTTAAATTTCTGGATTCTCATACTATTCTAAACCAGTCTGAACAACCCATTAAAGTGCAGTTGGGTAGTTTTTCACTCAGTGAAAAACACATTGTTTCTTGGCAGCTCAAACATATTGTTTCTTGGCATCTCCTAATCCTGGCAGGTTGATTGTTTTCAGAAGCAAATGGCAACGAAGTCTTTCTGAATAATTATGTCCCAAGCAGGATTAAAACCTATCCTTTTTAAATGGGTCCTTGGTCAGACTCCAGTAATAAATACCTCCATTGGTGCTGGCTATACTAGCTGTTCAACTGTACATATATTTTATTGTTTTAGTATATATTTTAAAATATATATATACTTTTTTAAAAAAAATGGGGAAACAGGCAAGCTATAAATATCTGACTTCATCATCACTTTTATTTCCCCAAATACCTAGGAGATCTATATAACCTCTGCAGATATTCTCAAAATATAGAAGTGGCAGATAACCAGCATTGTGCATGGTTTGGAAGTGGGCCATCTGCTCATAAAAACTGTGATGAAAAATGGCCGGGGGGGGGGGGGACAAAGTGGAAGAGAATAAGATCCCAGCTGGCTCGGTCATCAGGACCAGCATTTTGTCTTCCAAGCTTTCGGACTCATTCAGACTCTTGAAGACAAAACGTCTGGTCCCGGTGACCAACCCAGATAGGATCCTGCATATCCAGGGATATGTATATTCACTTTCTTTCGGGGGGTAGAATAGAATAGAACAGAACAGAATAGAATAGGGAAAAGAGTAGAGTAGAGTAGAGTAGAGTAGAATAGAATAGAATAGGGAATAGAGTAGAGTAGAATAGAATAGAATAGAATAGAATAGAATAGAATAGAATAGAATAGGGAATAGAGTAGAATAGAATAGAGCAGAATAGAATAGAATAGGGAATAGAGCAGAATAGAATAGAGCAGAATAGAATAGAATAGAATAGGGAATAGAGTAGAATAGAATAGGGAATAGAGTAGAGTAGAATAGAATAGAGCAGAATAGAATAGAATAGGGAATAGAGTAGAGTAGAATAGAATAGAGCAGAATAGAATAGAATAGAATAGAATAGAATAGAATAGAATAGGGAATAGAGTAGAGTAGAATAGAATACAGCAGAATAGAATAGAATAGAATAGAATAGAATAGAATAGAATAGAATAGAGAATAGAATAGAATAGAATAGAATAGAATAGAATAGAATAGAATAGAATAGAATAGAATAGAATAGAATAGAATAGGGAATAGAGTAAGTAGAGTAGAGTAGAGTAGAATAGAATAGAATAGAATAGAGTAGAGTAGAGTAGAATAGAATAGAATAGAATAGAATTCTTTATTGGCCAAGTGTGATTGGACCCACAAGGAATTTGTCTCCGGTGCATAAGCTCGCAGTATACATATAATCAGCAAGTAATAAGTCATAGGTCATGATCATAGTTACAATTATTAATCATAAAACAGCAACTGATAAATCATAAAAAAACCAATAGGAGAACATAGTAGGAAAGATGCGAAGATGAGAAACGAGACAGTGCTGTGGGAATTAAGTGTTCGGCAGAATGATGGCACAAGAGAAAAAACTGGTTGTTTTGGCATGCATGGAGAAGTTGAAATAGATCGTGTCGGGGATGTGAGTAGTCTGTAGATATTTCCTCAGCCCTCTTTCTGGCCTGTGCAGTATACAGGTCCTCAATGGAAGGCAGGCTGGTTGCAATTGTTTTTTCTGCGGTCCTAACTATCCGTTGAAGTCTGTACCTGTCCTGTTTGGTTGCTGTGACAGGATGGGAGGACACAATTTAGCAGTTTGCCCCTCCCATCGCCCCATAGACCTATTTTGTGATGTTTCCAAGATCCTATCCAAGATGTTCCCAAAAGCCTTATCCCCCAAAAGTTAGCAATCGAGCCATTTAGAGTTTAAGTATACAGTTGGCCCTCAACCTAGGACCACAATTGAGCCCAAAATGTATGTTGTTAGGTGAGAAACTTGTTAAGTGAGTTTTGTCGCATTTTGCGACTTTTCTTGCCACATTTGTTAAGTGAATCATTGCAGTTGTTAAATTAGTCAAACGGTCGTTAAGTGAATCTGGCTTCCCCATTGACTTTGCTTGTCAGAAGGTCGC